ACCCTGGGAAGGTTGGGCATTGGATATAAAGCACTGAAACAGGACAGACAGGATGGCAGTGATGGCACGCCATGAAAACAAAGTACCACATATGAGCAATATGGGTGATATCAGACAGTAAGGATTATCTACAGTTAATGTGATTCAGAAAGCAAATCTCGTTATTCACTTGCCGTACTGCAAAACAGAGCTACAGCAGCAGTTCCGGTGAATTTAAAGGTGCAGGGGGAAAACTGGCTCACTGAAAGTAATTTCCTTATACCAGCTTCCCTGTAAACAACATTGAAACAATTACAAACTTCGTGCATTTCACAGAGGGTAGAGGAATGGACGGACAGACTTAATTGCCCAATTCACTGGCTATTTAGTACCAAGAAAAGCTGAGGTTTTAACCTGTCTTAAGAAAATTAAGTTTGTTTAGCAGCACTGCTCATCTGCCTGCCTCATTTACCCTAATCACTACAAATATTTAAACACTTCAGCCACTTTCACACAAATTTAACAAAAGGGTAGAAATCTCACAGTTTTGTAAGATTTAGTGGCTTTCACAATGGCACACAGAAACAGCCTCAAACTGTTGTGCATTTAGCTGTATCTTGAGAAAAACCTGAGCACTACAGTGACCTCTTAAAAGCAAGCAAGGGGTACCGGGGTTTAATTTTGCAATAGGGGGTCTTGATACATGTTTAAGTTGACAAAGTCCCTAGTAGAGCTGCAGGGGAAAGAAAAACTGCAGCACCACCAAGCCTGTGAAATAGAATCAGCTTCAAAGTCCAGAAGTTGCTATTGGAGGTAAAGGACACAAACCACACCTTTTTCACTTAAAGACATTCTTTATTCAATCTTTTTTTATATACAATATTATTTTTAATCTGTAAAAAGTACATATGCAGGATTCCAGGTCAGAGGCAGAAAGTTTCCACATCAGAAGATAGACTTTTGCCCTTCTATTATTTTGGAGGAAAAATAATCTGTCAGTTTTAGACAAAGCAAGAATAAAGGCAGAATGCAAATCCAACTTCCACCAAGCGATTATGATTAAAGGCAACAATTCATCGTAACAAGTCAGGCTGTCTCCTTAGACTTCGGTGGTTCCCAACTTTTCTGGGCAATTGCAGAGCAGTTTGTTAGAAAGGGCTGACAGCTGAAGCAGCTAGTGCTTATCATCTCTGCTACAGTTGTATGCACATAACTTGCAAAAGAGCTTGGGTTTTGTTCTTTTTATGGCAACTCAAACTCTTGAGTCAGAAGACTGTGTCTCAAAATTCAAGGAGCGAAAGAGGGATGTCTTATCAGCGTGAACAGATCTCCGAACTACAGGGGGGAATCAAGAGCTTCCTTTCATTTTTCTCAGGTAACAAGAAGCCTGTTTCTTATTTGTCCCCTTAAAAGCATGGACTAGATTTATTAACGTCCATAACAGGCTCAATTTGCTAAAAGCCTGTTACTACAGCCCTGAGGTGTAAACTGCCTCGCCATTTTCTGTGGATGCCGGGTTATATTTTTGATCCTTTCAATGTTAATGGTGTTAACCACTTCTCCATTCAAACTAGGGAAAGTCACATTATGAAGGTTTGTAATGTCATTTCCTCAGGGACAGAAGAAGGGATCATAAAACACAGCCCAGTAGGGCTTTGCTTAGCTGTGAATCAGCACAGAGTAGACCTAGAGTAGACATTTAACCTTAAAGGATGGTTATACAGAGAGTGTGTAATTATTTTCACTTTTCAGAATCTGGATGTTCAACATTCAAATCCTGTAAAACACTGGGTGGGAATATGTCAGCTATTGGGAGGTAGAAGACAGCGATCCACAAATTTGGAGTAGGAAGCTAAAGGAGCCTCAAAGGTGTGACTGGCACAGGGAACTACCTGCTTTTGCCTTTACTCCAACATAGTATTTTCCACACTTTTCTTAAACATTCAGTTTGAAGGACTATATTGTGCAGCAAAATGAACACCCAGAATATCATTCCAGGGTTTTGTTTTTATTTATAGAGGACAAAGCTAAGAAGTTGACTTCTTGACTGCAGGACACACACAGCTCCAGGATGGTCAATGGAAGCTGCAGAAATCTGACTTCTTTGAAAAGTCAAGCTGTAAGTGTTAGAAAAAAACCTACTGCTAGCAGATCCTGACCAACAGGCAAGCTTGAGGCTCGGACTAGGAAAAGAACTGAACATCCTTGTTTTGACTGCATGCAAACAGGAAATAGACAGTTCTGGGATTTCCAGGCTCTTGCCCAAATCCAGTGTGCCAAAAACGTACATGATTTTCTGTTCTTTATTTCATCCTGTAAGAGGAGAGGATATTGTAGAAATTGCTAAAATGGGACAGCTACCTAAAGAAAACGAGGATTGTTTTGTTAGAGAATACAGTGCAAGACTCTGAAACAACTAGGACTAAAAAGTCATTTTGTGCTTAAATTTACACTCTATGAAAGTATGTAAGACAGCAGCAACAGAATGAAAATGGCAATATTCTACTGTACCTTATGTACCCAGAGGGAAAACAGTCTGAACTTTGGGTTGCATGTAACGCCATTCTGCAGATCAGAACCTACTTCTCTGTGAAGTACTCGGAACGAGGGCACGTCACTTCAGTCAGAAGTTTCGATATCCATGGTGCTTGGTTATTGTGCACACACCTTGCCCAGAACCCATTACCTCAGCTTGCTCTAGGAAATCTCAGGACGGAGAGATTCATGAATGACACAGCAATTAGTCCTTAAAATGCATTATTTTTGAAAGACTACGCACATCAGTAGCTTCTGGAGGAAAAGGACAGTTTGTATTTTAAAGAGTGATAGAGTAGAAACTGACAGCCATAGGGGTAACTGGAAAACGAGAAACAAGTGTCCTTTATTTGGTACCTGCTGCCTGTCTACACAAAGAAGAAACAGCAGTACTGTACATCTGCTTTGAGAAAAATACCATCCCATAACATGAAATGGCTTAGGTCCTCAATTCAAGCATTCTTGTGGCAGTGAGTTAACACATTAGGATTCACAGAGGAATTCATTTGAAGGGTTGCTCTTTAATTCACAAAAAGGGGGTGGGAAAAGCAGCAATGATAAGAAGTTTGCTGTTTCTGAGACTCCAGAATTCTGTCCTCGACCTTTCTCTGAACAGACTGGCAGCCATTCTACACCTTCATTTATCAGGAAGTATATGGGGATGGGGGTATGGGGTGGAAAGTGTCTTTTCCTTTTTTTTCCTTTCCTTCCCCCACCCCCTTTTTTATTTTTTTTAAAAAAACAGAAGAGTCTGCTTTTCCTCTTTCCATTTTGTACCCAGAGAGATTTAGGAGAACAAGGCAATTGAGTGCAGTTTTAAACTAATAACAGTTCTCACGGTATGGGAAAAGCTCAATTCAAAACCACGACATATCTGAACTTTGAAAAATGGAAAACAACCAGTTCTTCAGTAAGTCACTGAATACTAATTAGAAAAATAAACTTATGTGGGACCAGTAACAAGAATCCACTTGTTAAGCTACTTCTAATTTTAAATAAAAACTTACTTGAATCAGTGTTATTTACTAGATCAATTACTTTATCAGTTCTCAAATTATTTTTAAGACATTGCTGCAAATTACAGTAACTAAGTAACTGGTATTAAGGTAAAAACATTGAGATTGGAGATTTTTCCAAGCTCTATGTCTTCCTCTTCTTAAACTAAAGTAACTGTCTGGAAAAAAGCATCTGATAGCATTTTTTCTTAGATCATGTGATGATTTATGTGTCTAAGTTAGTGTCAAAGATAAGTGAAGGAAAATTTTATGGGGGAAATTCTGCTATAACGTACAGTCAGACATACTGTAATATGACAGCGAAAAAAGCTTTTATATATAAAACTTCATATAAAAACAGTTTTTGTGGGTTACAAATAGCACTCCCTCCTTTTAGACGTGATGCTGTACTGCTGTAGTTCACTGAAGAGTTCTTCCACTCATTTCAGTATGAAAACACAATCAAGATTTTTTTTAAAGACTCAACCTGTGCAATGATGAGGAGAGAAAGCAGCACCTCACAGCTTTTTTTTTTCCGGTAAAGGGGCCAGTCACCATGGCAAAAGGATCTGAAAGCTATAAAGGGGAATAAAAACAATAATTTGAGCTGTACGGATTCTAGAACAATGGTAAAAAAAGAGAGATTGAGATATACCTGAAAAGATTAAATTTCTTTTAGCAAATAAGTGAAGACTGAAGCAGACTCCATTTAAGTGATACTGTCCAGCCCAGCCTAGGAATAATTGAAAAAAACAACCCATGCTGGGTAGCAGCATCTCATTTCTCATAAACTAATGGATGAACACACTCTTCAGTTTCTTCTTCCACTCATATGTAAGAGATATTATGTTGTTTCCAAAGAGGATCATGTTGGCTTTGTCCTGAACACCCAGAAGAAAAAGAGTTTTGTAAACTAAATCAAAGGCAGTTTTGGGCTTGTTACACACAGACCACCAAAGAAGGTTCTGTGAATAGATCCAAAGAATGAAATTTGACTTTTAGGAAAAATCCAGAATGTGTGGAAAAATATAAAGCAACAAACTCCTGCTGCTTAGCTCAAGGGGAGCATTTTTAAGTGCTATACACTCTATCTTCCTACATAAATTGTGAGAGACTGTTTTTCTCATGTTGTCATCTCTGTTTATTTAGCTGAAAGAGCCAGGACTAATAAGAGAACGGTTTTTTCCATGTGACAGGATTTGTGCGGAAAGGAAACTTAGGCTCCTTCCTACCCCTACGATATGCTCCAGACTCTGTGACTGTGGCTTGCCAAATGAACTAAGCCCACGATGCTGACAGTGAACTACAAACCAAATGCTTAATAATTGTTTTTTTGGATGTAAGCATACAACGCAGATCTTTCAGCATTATTTTGAAAAGGGAAAATGAGGAGGCAATAGTTCTTATAGTTTAGAGTTTAGTTTTAATAGCTTAGAGGCCCTGAGAATGGCTGCCAGTCTGGACAAACAGATGCTCCTTAGAAAATTCAGACAGGTACAGAAAAAAATTCAAATCCTGACGCTGCTGGTGCAGTGATGCTGCTTTTTGTTGTTGCTTTGTTCATGCCATCATCAAAAAAAAAGAAAAGAAAAATAAGATCTAGGTATTTGGAACCCACCCGATCTGAAGAGGTGTGTGGTGTGTTGTTCCTTGCAACAGCGAACAGCAGCAGTGGCAAGTTCCTCTCCCTGGACAGGAAAGCCTCTTCTTCCTTATGCTGCTGCATTTATATTAAACAGTAGATTCCATGTCTTGCTAGGGTTGAAAGCACATGAAGTACTGTGCCCTGCAAATACCACACTAATGTGTTTTGGTCATGTATAAAACAGAACTTTTAACTTATATGTTGAAGAGTTTTGTTTCTCACGCCGCTACTTGCTTGACTCAGAGGTCTAGTTTTATCAAATGTCTGTCTCCTCTCCTGCTTAAAGTCTCAAGGGGTCCATGTAAACAAAACAGAGCTGAAAACAGTCTCTCTTCCTCTTCATAGAGCTGTTTTTATCGATATGCAGGATTTCCTGACAGTGTGGTGTTGGCTAAATGTAAAACAGGCAGAGGATGAGCTTCTGTGTTAAAAACCCAGTTGTCTAACGGTAGAAGGTCATCATTGGAGAAAAGCAGATACAAATACCTAGATATCAAGACAGAGAGGAAAAATTGTGGGTATTAAAAGCAGAGCAACAGACAGGCAGGGGCAACACTGCAGCTTCAGGCCCTACCAGTCAGCATGTAAAGCTATGAACAAGTTACTTGCTTTCAGTCTTTATATAGCATCCACTCAACCTTCCCTGTCATAATGATCTGGAGAGTAATTTTTATCATGATCAAGCCCTTCAATGAAAAATTGTTATAAAGACAGCATTTTAATCTTTCCAAGTAACTTGTGTTCATTGAGATGCCTTTCAAAGGCTTGCAATGTAAAACAAACATGAAGACACCAAGCGCAAGGATTTGGGGGACAGGGAAGCAGAGAAGTTGTTGGCAAAAAATTCTTCTTAATGGAGTAAACCCACTTGGAAATGACTAAATCCTCTTTAATCCAAATCAAAGATTTTGAAGAAGCACAAGAGAAGCCACTAAGCCATGCTAGATATCTGACTTGTCATCACTGTGCAGGAAGCTGGTTCGGCTTCTGGTGGGATGAAATAGGCCAATACATTATGCAGAGAGGATTCATAAATGCACATTATAAAGCAATGCAGAGCATATGAAGCGTGTAACAAAATTAACGTTTCTGGACATACATGGAAGAAGAGTATTTCTTGTTTCTTTTTTCTTAATTTCTTTGAATTTCTTAATTCAAAATTTTCTTTTGAATGTGGCTGTGCTATACTTTGTAGGAGATCTTGGTGGTAGGGATCTTTGTCAAGCCTTCCAAACTCAATCGCTAAAACTCAAAAGGCATTTCCCTTGTTCCAGAAAACCTGACTGTGCAAGTGCAAGCGTAACAACCTGGGTGTACAGGACCTCTCAGCTCCTGCTACAGCTTGCTTTCCTGCCATCCAGAAAATAACAGGACCTGCAGCACATGACATGGAACGGGTGTCGTTCCCATTAGTGGGCTCTGTCATATCCAGAATGTGCACACAGCTCTGTTGAGGCTGCTGTTATCTTTGCTCTCTCTCAATCAGACACTAGTGGTGTCTGTCTGTAGTTGTGTGTCATTGCCTGATAATTCTCCCATTGACTTTATTTGTCAATCGTATCCACAGCAGAACCCAGTCAGTGAAGCTCTATTTTTTCTTCCCTTCCTCACCAATGAGCTCTTTACAGATAAGAATTTATTGCTGAGATGATTCAGTTTTTTCCTGCATGTCTAGTCTCTTTCTCTACATTTTTCATTCATCTTTCCTTTCCTCCTTACTCCTACCTTGCTTTCTCCTTCTGCAGCTCTCCAAACTCTTTTTCACCACAGCAGCAATGTTTCGTCTTACTCAAATTCACCTTCCTCATTTGATTCATGCTTTTCCTTTGAATAACTTAAGCAATCTATTTCCCCATCTTGCTCCTTCCCACTCAACAGCTACCTTCTTGCCACTTATGCTGCCCAAATTCTCATAATTTGCCGAGTATCTTTCATGAGCCAAAGTATCTGAGCAGCAACACTGCATGTTTGGGAGAGGTATCAATTCTGAATTTGAGGGGAATGAAGATGCATAAGTTATCATCAACAGCAAAAAAAGATCAGAGCAGGCATTCTGTAACGCACATTTTATGGCCCTCTTCTGAGGGACATCTTCATTTTCCTCATGTCACCACACCCAACCCTTCTGTCTTTATTTTCATAGCCATTTGAGCTATCCTGACCTTATGTTCTCTATTTCATCTCAAGGCGATACCAGTTTCTCGTTTGGCTATGCCAATCACATCAACGTCAAACATCTAATATCCAGTTCTCCAATAAAACTTCGTCCCACAAGCGGGATATGATCCAAACCAAAAGCCAATAAAAATTTCTGAATTCCTTCCTAGAACTGCCTTCTTTTGCAACGCTTGCGCTACAGTACACTCAGTTACTGAGTGATTTATCAGTGAATTTTCAAATCTCCTTGTGATTATTTAAGGTGCAAACAGGATTCTGGCGATACTTCAAAGGCCAGCCTTGTCACCACAGAAATCCCTCAGGAGCAGAATTCATTCTCCGATTTGGCTTTTATACGCAGATCAATCATATAAGATCAGCTCTGGGGAGGTATTGCTTCTCTGACTGGACCTGTTTGAAACTGCTGCCCGCCTCTTTGGGAGTACAGCTTTTAGTCTCCAGAAAATGAACTTGAAGGAATAAGTGAAATAAAATTAATAAAGACAACAGAGGAGGCAGCAGTCGCCAACTTTCTTTTTCTAATTATAACACTGTGAAACAAAGTATTGTGACTATGTAGAGGAATTTGGTAAGGAGACAGCAGAACGATAGAATAGCCAGACTCTTCCCTTACACACGATGAACTCTGAGCCCCTTCTTGCCACTGAAACATGTTGTGGTGCCTCAAGTAGGCACCAGTACTGCCACTTTTCAGGATGTGCTTTCTCCCTGCTGCATTCTGAACTCCCAATACACAAAATCAATCTTCACATACATCAGCTACAGCTAAAACCTGAAAATTTGATATTGCTGATACTGTAAACTCCGCTGCTGTACAGAACCCCTGTTTATTCTGCAAAGCCTGCATACCACGTTAGACCACCAAATGGCTACAACTGTTTTTTCTTTGTATCACTGGGTTGTAATGACAGAAAGGGCACCTTGATGAGTCTTCATTGCCGATAGGTTTCTGCAACAACATACGTATCACCCCTTCCATCACATGTTGGCAGAAAGTGGTATGGATATATAAGCAGAGGCACAACTACATCTCCTAATAGCAGGCCTCATTCACACTGCCAGCAGTGGCTTCTGTCTATGGATTTAATCAACTAAAATATTCTCCAAGCTGTTATGCAGGAGGGAAAAAAGAAAGGGGGTAGGGAATATCGCCAACTCAGACACTTTTCTTCCCAAAGTACACAATTTACAAGATTTCAGGGAGGTATCAATACAGGAAGCTTGGTAATTTCAATGCCAGAACAATACTACCAAATTTGCTGATGTAACTCGAGTATCGAGAAAATTGTCACACATTAGAAGACATTGCTTCATAGACAAAACACCAGAGCAATCACCACCGCGTGACAAAAAACAGGGCTCTTGATAGCTGGTTTGTGTCAATGATGACAGAGATCAGTAGCCATGACATGCTAGCTCAGTTTTAAAAATGGATCTCTTAACAAAATCCCCACAACATATTCCTGTCTTTATACCAGTTTTTCTTATTGTATGTATCATTTCCATAAGTTAGAGGTTATGATACATTCCAGTATAGCATTTTTTGTTATTAATCAAAACGAAACATGGTGGAAGACCAATGACTTTGAACATTTCAGCTTGAACCAAATATGCAACAAAGTTCATTAGCTTCTGCAAGGCAGACTACAGGTGTCCTACTGATTTGACTGAATTGGAAATATTTAAATACGTAAGAGATTATAAAATATGCCCGATATTCTTTCTTACACTAAAAAGCATTCTAGAAAAATATGTTGTGGCATAAATAAAGAAAAATCATCCAAGGGCACAAAGGACATTTGTTCCATGCATTTACTCCCTTCCAGTGACATACACAGGAGAAACAGGTTCTAAAATATCAGAGCATGGCACATACTTGGATAAGACACATCAAGTCAGTGTATCTAAAAAAAAGAGTCTTTTGCAAAAGGAATTTCTTAAAAAGGAGATAACCTTTCCTCTGCTGTGATGCCAGAAATCAAATAGAAGTCTTAAATAAAGCTCGCTCAGCATAAGCTTCTTGTATGGGAAATTCCACTTGTATTTTCTGCTGGTAAAATGGGCTGATCTGGGGCCCTATAGGTGGGAAAAAAAGAAAGCCCAAACCATAGACCACCCTGAGAAGATAAGTGATTATTTGTTTAGCCACTGCATTCTTCCAGAATTTAGATGCTAGCTTTTACAGGAAGATACAAGGGTGCAGAGAACTTACTTCAAAGTTTCAGCGAGGAAAAAGCTCTGCTGTACATCGTCATATGTAGGAGATGAGGAATAGACATCCTTGACACCAGAAAAGCCACCACTGACTCGGCAATACTTGTCAATTGCCTGCAAAGAGGAAGGGAAAAGAAAAAGAGAATTTAATTGTAGAGCAAAATTTGGAAACATTAAAGGATCGGGCTTGATGAACAAAGGAGCTCTTTCTGTGCTGCATTATTCTGTTGTGAATCTCCTTGTCAGAGGATGCTGTGAATGTTAACAGTTTCACTGGCCAAAAAAAAAGGGATTGAATACATACAGAAGTAAAATCCCTCCAGGGCTACTAACACCACCACATTTGGCAAACTGCTAGATGCAAAGAAAGTATTCTGGGGAAGAATACTTTCTTTCCTGGGTATTTACTATCTAATTATTGATGACAGGACATGGATTCAGTAGATTTTTGCTGGCTTCTCATAGGTAACACTGAGTAGAACATCGTCAGTCAACGCAATGCCTGGATTTTGCAGCTGGAAGAGTTTGAAGAATTACTGGAACTCTGTGACTAGTAGCTAGTCATAGGGACTTACTGAAAGTAAGAATAAAATACTGTACTCATCTTTAGAGACTGTTGATTTCATCTTATAAACTCTTCTAGCTGCTGTTTTCTGCCCACATTTCCATCTCCTACATGTGCTCATCTCTGTTTCCCCTTTATACAGTTGAAACTCAAGTCAGCTTGTGTGCTGGACTTCAGAAGAGCTCTTTATCTTTAAAGCATGAAGTTTAAATCCATAAACATTCCATGCAGAAAGGGGCCAATGGATCCATGATTCACAAATCACCCAGCTAGTCAGCTCCAACACAGTACTGCAAAAAGCACAATGGAAGAGGAGGAGACTGGACAGAATGTGTTAGTAGCTCAGAGCACCTCTCACCTATGCTTTCATTATTCCACTCACATGCACAACCTTACAGCACACAAGGATATCAACCATTAAAACGGGCCCCAAAGAAACAACTCTGAAATGATTCACAGGTTATTTGTGCTTCCCCACTGCTTTGGCAGTGCTTCCTCAGCAGATACCAACTCTTTTAATGGATTCATGCAGGGACAGAAAAGGCACAGTGATGAAGGAAAATGCTTGGCTCAGGATGTCTGTCATTACCAGCTACTGAACACAGCTACCTCTAGTTCAGTAATCTACAATTCAGCCCGTTAGCCTGTATGAAGTTTTTCTCTGCACAGTGCTTTAGGCCCAGATTTTCGTTAATTCTGATTTTTGCTGGTTATACTCAAAAGGAAGCTGAGGGGAGTCAAGGCAGGGGAGCAAACAAGTTTTGAATTATGTCCCTTTTTATGGAGAGAAAACAAATTCAATCAAAATTAACTCTTCAAGTCACCTACTATAGCCTTTGCAGACTAGAAATACTGGGAAACAAAGGAGAATTTTCCACTGGACACATGCATGAAGAATGCTGGCAGATGCCATCACTGAAATCAGGAAGAAAAGCAAAAAGGCAAATGAGCAAGGTACCCAGGACAGTAAGTCACAGCATATCAGGTACTACAGCTAACCTCCTCCTAGTATACACTCTTCCCTGTGGAAATGTGAGGTTGTTCATGCACCAAAGAATAATCCAGATTGTACAAAGTTCTTTGAAATTTCTGAAGACCAAGACTTTTTAAGAAGCAAGAAGAGGAACTGGCAAAAGGATGTTATTGGAATGACTGTGGCTCTAGAGCCTGAGCTTATGCCAAGAAAGGCACAGTGTTTCTCAGCAAAATCTAACTCTTGCTGTAATTCCTTATCTCAAGTGAAGCCTTCTCCAAGCTTGCATGGAAACGTTGCTTTTTTTTTGTTGAGACTTGAGCCTAAAAGGAGTAACTGCCTGGACGAATTCTTTTCAGATCTGGTTACTGGTGCAGGCTAGGGCTACACTGAGACTGTTCACCTGTTGGGATTTAGGTTGACCTGGTTTTCTCTACAGTCTGGAGAGAAAGGTGTAAGTTACACATGTGGCCCAACAGCATCACATGCATGACAATGTCTTTTATGCATGCTCTTGCACATCACAGGTGATGCTAGCTATCACATGGCAAACAAACAAACAAACAAACAAAAAAAGGAGAAAAAATAATTGCCTGGCCAAATTCTGAAGAGACAATGCATATGCTATTTATGAAACTATTTGCACGTTCCTCTCCACAAGTCCTACAGTCTCTAGGCAGGTGTTATATAAATAAACAAGAGCCAAAGCACTTGTGCTTTCTAGGCACGAAATGAACTGCCTCCTCTTGTCACTATCCCCCTTTTTTTTAATAATACTGAAGAACACAACCTTATCTCTGCTCTGGAGCGTGGCAAGATGCAGGGGGGGAAGCTCCAACTGTTTTACTCCTGCCAGAATTTCCAGCATGCAGAGTTTGACCTTGCAGGTGTTCCTCTGGCCAACAATTCAGCGACACTGTGTGCCACAGCTTGGACAGGAGAAATTTGCTAGTGACTGTGGCAAAATGAAAAGAAGGACAAACAGTACCACTGTTAGGACACTGTCTCCTTCAACTCATTTATTCTGGAGACTGCAGACAACAGATAGCACTGAGATCCTGCTCTCTGCTGTAGAGGTCTTATGTTTGGGTAACGTAAGTGCACCACTGATGAAGCTAGCAGGCCCAGAAGCCTGAAGAAAGAAAACATGTAATTTATATTGATTTTTTTTTTTTTTTCTCCTTACAATTACCGAGTATCTTCAGAAATTTCACCTTGGGAGACAGACTCTGGCTAGTCTGGAGTTCGGGATAGGCAGAGGATTTATCCTAGTTGATCACAGATCTAGACACTGCAGGCAGTAATGAACTGCAGAGGAAAAATTCCTCTGAAAGATTGCTATACAGCTTTTAATCCAAATATGGATAAACAAGTCGTCCTTGATTCAGAGCCATACAGAACTTCAGGACACTGGCTGAGAAGTTTGGTGCTGTAGACAAGCTGCTTAAAAGGCACTTGAAATTTGCAGTGTTCGGCCTTCACACAGATCACAGAGTACTTGGTGCAGAGGCATCTGATTTGCCTGGATATTCTTTCACTCAAGAGCTGAAGGCCAGTCTCCATGACAAAACGATGCTAAATTTATTGCACCTAGAACACAGGCAAGTCCTAGGTGACTGGAAGGGTATCAAGGTAATGCTATTATTATGAGGCATTGCCAGCCTGAATAATTTTAGGATGGCATACCTGACATTAGTTCCAAACAATTATGGAAACACATGTAAAAAAAATAGAAGGACAATTGACACCCATCAGCACGGTTTTATAGAAACAAACTATCTTGGCTAACAAGCTTGATTTCATTCTTTGAGGTCTACAAATTGACAAATAAAGGTAACTGCAGAGCTGTAATAAACTTAAAAGTTTCTAAAGCATGGTACCCTAAGATGTTATGATATGGCAAAGCAGCACTACACCGTATCAATATCACTATCTTAGTTTAAAACTCACTGACAGTGCTCTAAGAACACACTGGCAACATAAAATCGTCACCAAATAGAGCTGCTTCTCACAGACACCTAGAAGTGGTCTGAAGTTTTATCAACATGTTATGACATATAACAGCAGACAGTGTAATCTGGTGTAACTGGGGCCCAAACAAAATCAGTTTCATTAAAAAAAATAATAATTCATTCATAATCAGGCACATAATCCTAAATTTAGACATAAAGGCTGTGGATCTGCAGAACAGATCTGGAAAGCAGAGATGCTTCAAAGAATTCAGTGGCTATGTGAGACAATTCAGTATGAGTTCGTGCCAGGCTACTGTGGCAGGTGCACACGAAGGGACAGTAAACAGTAGCAAGGGTATAATTTTACTTTTGCACAGGGCTGGGGGTAAAGTCAAAACTGGAATATGCAATTAGAGAATTAATTTTTTAAAAAGGATGATGAGCTGACATGGGTGCAGACATTTGGAGAAAATGCTTTACAGCAAGAGACAATACAATTAGTTTAGCATCTTAAGTAGACTCAGTAGTAAGCTTATTACAATCTACAAAAACTCTTTGGAAAGAAAACATGGGGGAATAAAAGACATTTTAATATGGTATAGGAAGTCATAGGAAAATCCAGTGATTGACAGCTGAAACTAGACAAATTCAAATGGGAAATAAAGCACTTCTTATTAGCAGCACAAGTAATTAAATAATGGAACAAAGTACCAGAAGAAGTAGATTTTCTAGTTCCCTTTATTCAAATCAAGAGTAGAGAGAAGAATATGCAATAGTGTACTCTTGCCAAATACATGTGTGTCTGCTCAAAAATGACACAAAGTGAAATTCCAGGGCCTGAGACATATGGGGAGGTCAGAGTTGATCTAAGTTCTTTGAAAATAAAATTGGAAGTGCCTCTAGATCAGACTCAAGCTCCCTCAGTTCTTGAGAGTGTTTTTGTGGTTGCATGTGTAACTTTTCTTGACCACACCAACAACATGCTCACAAAAACTGTGCCAAGTTCTTCACCAGCTGTGGTACTCACAGTTTGCAACCCCTGAGCTGTGAACCCATGTTTCTTTCACTTCTAACCTACGCCTGGCTCTTTTCTGTCTACTTTGCTTCACTAAGTAGAGAGCTATACGTCTTTCCACTCCATCTTACTGTCAATCCTCGATTAGCCCGAACTTAGCCTGAACTTGAGGTCTTGTATATTATTTTCACTGTAAACAGAAACTCTGAACAAACTCTGCAGCTTCAGTGGTGCAACCCTACTTAGTCAGATACACAAGTCCCCAACAAATAGTTGAACCCTTTATTCACAGAGCTTAGATTAGTAATTTGCTTTACATGTCTATTGTGAAGTGGTGGCGCTTAATCGCTTTCAAATAATTAGCCTAAAAAAGGATTTTAGTAATTTTCTGTATTTACCCTGAATATCTTGCATGCATATTTCTGTAATGCTTCAGCCAGCCCCCCCCACATACCATCATCCAATTTGGCTGGCCCAATACAATTGAGATATATGTTGTATCTAGTGCTAAGTATAGTATTAGGGAGAATTAGCCTCTTTTTTTTTTTTTTTTTTTTAAATCAGGGTATAGTTAGAAACCCAGTCACAGTGATTTATGATCACTGAGGAAATGTAAGATTCATCTTTCTGGTTTTTCCCCACAGACACTGTATTTGGAGAGATGTGACAAAACAGGCCTTGGTCGAACCACATCATCTGTACTAAAATGCCCAACTTTTGTCACAAAATCTAAATAATACAGCCAAAAAGAAGCTGCCAACAGTGAAACAGATAAAGAAAACACAGTACAAAGATCTGCATACACACACAATCCAGCTCTCTGTGAAAACTCCCATTGATAAAAGGCAGAGAGATTTGGGCGGGGAGTGCTAAAGAAACTTAAGTAATGCATTATACTTAAAAGCCAGGTGGCTCTGCAATGTATCCTGGATCATCTCTGAATAGTTCTTAAAATGTCAGAAGCAGAGCTCTAACATACTGGTGAACTAACCCAAATCCATTCAGGGAGCAATGTATTCACCCATTCAAAGAAGCAAACAAGGGAGACCAACAAGAACTCAGTCATCAAACACCAGGTTACACGAGGTTCAATGTATAAAAATAAGATCACTTAGAACTGAGAAACAAACCTCAGTTTCCCCAAAAGTTTAAAAGAACTACCAGACTTCTGATGAAGAAACTATCATTCACTGTGAGAAGTCTGTAATACAGATTTCAAAGTATGCTTCAGTGGTTGAAAGGCAAAAGGAAAGCAAGTACAGACGGTGTTGTAGAAGAGCAGCAAGCCAACTGCTCTGTGTGTCATACCAGATTCTTCTCTATTTATAAATGGAGCAATAAACACAACCAGAGCTGTGTGTGGTAGGGAAGAAGGAAAAGTAGCGAGTAGGTGTGAGAAGTAAACACAAGAACTTATTATCTATATGCAGGGAACAGAAAACCCCGGGGGACAAAAAGCTTCCCAAGCTTCTGTGTTAGTATGATGGTGGGGTAAGAAAATCTGTAATTGTGGGAAGGAGGGGTACACAAAACCATTTATGAAGAGTTAAAAAGTATTTTACAGCTATGAGGAAGCAAGCAAAAAAGGCACTCCGTAAGGACAGAGCCAGCTAAGCACGTGGGCTGCTTGATTTACACAACTTCAATGCAGGTTGACAGAAGGATAAAACAAAATCCTACCCTGCACACAGAGAAAATTGGTGGCAGGGGAGAAGGGAGGGGGGGTTTGGTTTGAAAGCATTAATGGGACCAAGACATGAAGGCAAATGCAGAAACACAAACAAAATGCAATTCAAAGACATGCTTTGCAGTGTGCTTAAGAGACAGATCCTGGCCTTAAAAAATTACATTCGCAAATTCTTTAACCTAGTACAAAGGACTCAATCTCAGCTTGGATCATCCAGCCATAGCTTCTGACAGGACCTGGTGTTAGATCAGTACACACATCGGCAAGGAGTAGGTTATTAAATCCACTTCTTTGTCTTATTAGAAACATGCATAGTTTGGGCAGGAGGGATGACGTGACTCAATGTTTGATGTTTCGGAGAGAGCAGCAATGCATTCTAGAATACAAATGTGACTAATATGGAACATATCTCCAGAGTAACATAATGTTGGTTATAACAAAACAGTCTAACCAAGACTAAGACACAATCTTAAAATACTTGGACTCTCCTACATGATTGTAACTATACTGAGGGAAGGATAGGAATGAGCTCGGCTAAATATTCTGAACCTGCCTTAACTATCTTCCACCAAATGAACACAGGCTTCTCAGAGGATCTCCTCCTCCAAGTACTTTTTCTGGGTCTCTTGCCTCTGGAGCAAAACTGGTTTTCACCTGCAGAATAAAAGTTTCTCCAGCTCTTGGTCCATCTCTTCCTTTCTCTTCCCTCATCTCCTTTGCCTGTAGTCAAAATATTTCATTAGCTTCTTGTTACCTTTAATGTTTATTCTCATCTCTGAAACTGGCTTTAGGCTACGTTTCCAAAGACTGCCTGAGCTGTAGTAGCGAAGTGGAGGAGCTGTAGCAATCCACAGATCTCAAAGAAGACCAGAAAACCGCTTGGCCAGCAAATTAGTTTTGCACGAGCCCAGTACAGACCAGCAGGTGGAAGCAGTGAGAAACATGAGGCCAAAAAAGGCTCAGAAGTTCAACCCTAAGAAGCATTAAAGAGGCAAAGTCTTTTGGGGATTTTTACAATTACAATATTATATTGTCATATAAAGGAATTATCTATCTATGTACAAATGATGAAGGAAGGAAGTCCATGAGCATAGATAAAGAACAAACAGTCCTACAATCAATCTGGGCTTCTGTAGACTTATACAAGCATTTCCAATGAGAAAGACTCAGAAGCATTCTCACACTCGGGAATTTGATTAAAACGTTCAACAACTAGATTTAAACCCAGGAAAGCAGCTATACCAAAAAACCCCAATAATCGCTAACCCTTAGGAACAACTTTTAAGTTCTGCCTTATGTGCCGTTACTTACCGACTTTCTTTTATGATCTACTTCTTGTGATGCTGTAATTTTTTGTTGTAATTGAGTAAATCTAAACTGACTGGCAATTTTTTTTCCTTTCAATCAGACAACTAAGAAAAGAAAAAGCCATGATACCAACCCACATATACGTACGTACTATCTAGTCTACACACCATCTGACAAGAACACTTGTCCTACCACTTATATTTTAATAGGCAACTAAAAAGAAACTGTAAGAATAGCATTGTCTTTTAATCTAAATTGAGTGTGAACACATGCTTCACAAAGTTATTTAAAATACACTTTCATTTTGCAAGATAAATTACTTCTCTTGGGGGCTGTGGATTACTGCTAACAGGAGGGAGTCATGACCAGTGGATTCTATTTCAATGCCTAAAACTCATCAGCTATATAATGCTGAACACATCTCATCTGTGCATCTGATTTGGCAGTTGCAAAACAGGAACACCTGCTTGTACCCCCATATGCACCCTGGTTTACAGGAACTTGTGAAAATCAATTACCATTTGAAGTGTTCCAGTACCACAAGATTAAAGTGGCTACAAAATGACAATACACAGAATTAAATTATTGACAGATAATCAATACAGATACCTGTGTTGCCTCCCAGCCCCACTGCCTGTACTTGGGATCGTGGGTGAATCTCCACATATACCAGTAGGTCTCAATCACCTCTGGTCTTAGGATGTAATACTTCTCATTCTGCCGCACTGCCACCGCCTCTACGCCACCATCAAATTTGAATGCTTCTGGACCCAACTTTAATGCTGCAGAGGAAGGAAAAAAAGAAAAGAAAGAAAAAATTTATTCTTTACCAATCTTTGCAGGAAGGGTGGATAGGAGAGTGCTATATCCCAAGCATGTGAGAAAAACAGAAACTAGCTTGTCTTTAAGCAGTCTCATAAATATTTCCTATTGTTGAGACGTATAATTTTTCTTATGAATAATTTATCCAATTCCTGTGAGAAAACTACCTGTCTTGACAGGAGTACAGTAATCCTCTCGAAAACTAATGAAACACGAAGAACATAAACACATTAAGACATTCAATTATGGGATAAAATTAAAGTGACCGACATCAGTTCTTTACAAGCCAAAAAAAAAAAAAAAAAAAGAAAAGGGAGGAGAACAGAGGTTTTAATGTCCTTTGATCCCACCCAGCACAGTAGGAAAAGATCTTAGAAAAAACCCAGGTACCTCTATCTCAAATAAGCTCCACCTTTAGCCAAACTGTCTTGGTTTAGGGAAGTGCTGTCAGGCCACCACAACTGATGTGCTTCATAACGTGATCCTAAAGTAAAGGGTTTAAAACTAGGTAATGAAAACTTAGCCACACCTGAAAATAAATCTCTGAACTAAGAGATTCACTATTTCAGACCTTAAAGGAAGCTGGAATGGCTCTGTGCCAGCACTTGGAAGACTAATCAAATAAGAAGGAGGTACCTGTAGAAAAACTGTCTATAATATGAAGGTGCAATTTCATATATTTTTTTATTATACAGCTACACATTATTCCTCAAATTTGACATAAATAATGCACTCTTATCTACAGCTGCACCCCACCCTTTGCTTTGCAGAAAATTTTTAAGGGGCTGCACTTTGAAGCTGTACTTGAGCTCTAAAAATTATCAAAGCAATTAACCGTTAATTCCTATGGGCTAGAGCCTCAAATTAACCATGGTCTCATGAGTCTGAAAGCAGAATCTTAGAATACTACAATGAAAAATATGAGCACCTCCCAGTGCGTGGCCCCAGCAGAGAAGCTCCAGAAAAGTTCCTTAATCTTTTTGTTTCAAGGGAGCATGGCTCTGGATGCCAATAGAAAAAAGCACCACACTCTGCTTCAGCCACACATGTGGTAAGGAAAACTCCATCAAGAAATGCTTATGAAACTTCTTTCAAAATGGGCCATTTTACCAGTTTCAGTAAAAAAAAAATGTACAAATTTTACTGCAAAGTCAGTGAGATTTGATAAGAAGTTCTATCTACCAAAAATTAAGAAGGTAAGAATGGCCATACTGGACCAGCTAGAAGTTCTGTTTGGTCCAGCATCACATCTCCAACAATGGCCAAAATCAGACAAGGATGGGGAAGAGGAAGAACAGGCCAAGTATAGGAGATACCTTCTTCCAGCTTCTCTACCAGTCTCCAATTTTTTTGAGCTCAAGGCTTCTCCCAAACAGACATACTTTGTTATGTGGTCAGTAATTCTTAATAGGTTTATTTCCCATGTACTTATCTGGTGTTTCCTTAAACCTGTGTAAGCCTTCAACATCCAAAACAACCTCTGCTAAGAAGGTTCCACATCGCAAGTGGTGTAGAACCACTTTTTTGTTCTTTTCCATTTTCAGCTTGGTTCCTATTAGACTCATCCAATAGTCTCTGAGTCTTGTCTTGGAGTAAAGAGTGAACAACTGATTCCTATCCACTTTCTCCAGTCCCCTGGTGATTTTGCAAATCTGTTGTATCCTACCTAAAATGTCCCTTTTCCACACTGAAGAATACTATCCAATTCAGTTGTTCCTTGAATGCAAACTGTTCCATACCTTTAGTTTTCCTAGCCTTCCTCTGCAAATCTTCCAATTCTACTATATCCTTTGTGAAATGAGAGGACCAGCCTGAATTCAGCACTAAAAGTGTGGACAAGATTAATACAGCAACATAGTGACATTTTCTATTTTGCTCTTTCTCACTTTGTTTTTCCTGACTGCTACTGAGCTGACATTTTCATAATCTCAAAACCAATTTCCTGAGTTGTAATGGTCAGTTAAGAGCTCATGATTTTATATGTGAGGTTAGGAATAATTTTTTCATAGGTGCCTCACTTTACATTTAACTACACTGACTTTAATTTAGTAATTTATTACACAATTACTCAACCTTATAAGGTTCTTGCGTAATTTTTCAGCTTTCTTTCATTCTTGCTATCCTAAACAGCTTTTCTTTTTTAGTTATTATCAGCACACTTACCTTACTGTTCCTGACCTTTTCCTGATCATTTATATATGTATATATACACATATCAAAATATTAAATGTAAACATACTAGACATTTATACACGTGTATAAATATACTACACATTTATACACATCTATACATAAATATGTATAAATATGTAACAAATATATCAGAGTACCACTGGTTAACCACCATTCATCCATTGGAAGAGCTGACTATTTACCTCTACCCTATTTGCTACAGTGCAATCATTTTTCTTCTCCACACAGGTACTTGCTGCTTATGCTGTAGCTGTTTAATATCCTTAAAGGGCCTTAGTAGAGAACTTTTGAAAAAGCCTTTTGGAAATCAGGCAAACCATGTCAGCTGTATTACTCTTATCCACCAAAGCAGCTGGATTTCAGGCAGTTCTGGTGATGCATCACCTACAGAAAACTGTGACACCTTCTCTTGCTTTGTAGCCTAACTGGTGCATTAGATCTGTAATCATTTACTCATATCTACTTCTAATGTCATTGGGCACTTCAAGAAATTATACCACCCAGAGAATGGGTGATCTCTGCAGATTGCAACAATCTCACTGAATTTTTATCTGACACCAAATTTATCACAGCACTCCTACTAATAGGTGACTAAAGAAGCTACTATGAACAGCACCTTTCAAGTGAGCATTCTTCTAAGCAAAGAACCATCTAAGGCCATTTTACAATGCTATAGTGGTCACACTTTAATCTGGGCATTTTAGTATTAATCAGGCTGATGAGAGCTGATGAGAAACAATTTCACATCATAGTGCAAAACTGCAAAGCTAAACCAGTACCATTTTAAAAGAGATTTTACCTGATTTAAAGTTGACTTCAATGAGAGCTATATTTAGCACTGCTGAAAATAATGGCAAATCCTATGACTTCTAGATAAATATTTATATATCTAATTTTAGAAATAATTTTGAAAACATTGTTAATTTTTTGTCTCCCTTGAAGACTACAGTCAATCTAGCAATAAATTCTCTGAAAGTAAGAAAGGATTCATAAAAATAATAGTAATTGCTAGGCTCTAAGTCATTTAAAATTTCAGGTAGAGAACCTCCAAGGTATTTTTGTTTGAGACTCCCTGAACCATTCCATCAATGTACATCATTATTTTACACTTCTCTTGAAAACAAGTACTTATTCTTGTTTCTCCATCTTCATCTGTTTAGCTGCTTACTGAGTCTTGAGACAGACAGCATCTACTCATACCCTCACAATGTCTCAGCTGAAGTCTTAGTCACCTGGCTTATTCTGCATTGGAATTGTCACACATATAAGAACAGCTAAAGCTGTACCCAGATTCTGTCACACGTGTAAGAACAGCTGAAGCTGTACCCAGATTCCGAGGACAGTTCTTGTCAAGAAACTTTAAAGATGTGCAAAAAACTTCATCCTAAAATAATCTGTCTGCAATCAGGCAATACTTTACATACTATCAGCTAATGGCTGGGAAAATTCTTATATATAAGGGATGGTATATTTTACTAAAAATACTGTGTGCTATATATCAGTACATGCTGCCATCTACACAGATAATTTTGCTTATTAATCTAACCTCTACAATACCTATGAAAGCAAATTATTCAGACTGATTTGTTAGTGGCTTTCTATTATTTCAATTTCATTGGACACTTTTTTTTACCATTTATGGATTTTGCATTACTAGTTATCTTATGCCTTTGCCATGTTTCTCAGTGGTACATGTTAGGCATGTAAAACAAAGAACTAATCCCCAGTAACTGGAATACCTCAAGATGTGCAGTCCACACACAAACTTAAACGGTGAGAAACGTTGCACCATAAGCACATGAAGCTGTATTCTTTTAGCCTTACCAGTGCCCACTGACAGCATTATGATTCCTTGTGCTGTGCCTGTACATGGGCATACAGATCAGAACATGCCTTCTATCTTTGATTCTCTCAATCTTCTCTCCAAATTGAGAGCACACTGGACTATAGATTTTTCTCCTGCCATTGGATGGGATATACAGGATGACTGCAGCAATAATCTATCAGTAGGTCATGGTGCAGAAAAAAAGCAGAGTAGGCAGGAAGCAGAGGCATGTGTAGATTACACATCACAAGACTATTCTGATTACAGTTAAGTTTTCTGACTTTGACCATCAATAAGCCTTTTCAAATCCTTGGTGTTTCCAAGAGGTGCCACATGCATTCACAATTTCCTGAAGAGAGGAAAAGCCTCCAGGATCTCATGCTGACAAGTTCAATGGATCCTGGAAACACAAATCCCTTTCTCAGAGGCAGATCAGAATCATGCCTGTACCCCCTGCCTTCACCTTCCAAGGACCATCAGCTTCCTCCAGCTAGTGAATTAGAAAGGCATCCTACAAGGAGTGCTATACACTTATCCTCATCTTAAGCAGAACCTACAGGGATTTTCATAGGGCCATGGCAAGGGCCTGAGCTTCTCAGGATACCCCCAGTCACTACTCCAGCCTACAACTGAGGAGTCTGAGGTCTCCTCAGATATTCCTGGAGAACATTGACAGGTGAATCAGATTATCAGAGAGGCTGTGTCCCTGCATAAACCTCTCATAGATTACATTGCAGTGATGCCAGTTGTCACTGGGACATAATGCCTGTGGAAATATACCAGGAATGGTTGCAAGAATTTTCCAGCTTCTTTGTATAATCAACACGGTGGAGCAGAGAGTATCATGAGAGGTTAAATGGGTAACTTGGGTGCTGAACAGAATGCAATCTGGTGGGAAAGGGAAAACAAAGGATGCAGGAACATCTAAAAGGATTAAGGCAAAACTTATTACAAGCCATACAGGAGATGGCTGTCATGTATAGACAGACCACCTTGCATTCCAACAATGAGACATGGGCCTGGTGTGAGAAAACAGCATGTGTAGGATAGCAAAATTTCCTCAGGGGTAGGTCTGAAAGACTTGGTCCCAAAAAACAGGGTGTTGACTCAGTTTAACTGCCCAAAGCTAAAATCAGCCCCAAGCTAAGGAGATAATTAACCCACTTTTAACTCCTCAGTCACTTGGGTAACAAAAGCAGATACTTTCACCCAAGTTGGGTTACTATGATGGCTAGGTACCTTGTGAAAAACCTCAGATCTACACAGAAGTCAAGCAACTGACTTTTGAACTGGAACGGGTCTGTTTCTACCCCAGAACATATCTCCTGTTATCTGTTTTGATGGAGATGTAGAATAAGGTACCTTTGAATTCAAGAGACAAAAAGTCCTCTCTGTAGAGCTGGGATGATCTCTTCCATTACCATCCTGAACTGAGTTTATGTATGAACACATGCAGTCCTCATAAGTCCAAAACAGAGTCTCATCCTTCCTCCACATATGCCTCTATGAAAAAACTACTCATCTTAGTACCGATTAATCCTGACTAAAGTAACAGCAACTACCAACGATAATGATGTTAGGTAATGAGGAAGAAACAGAGTTGTGTGGGCCGAGATTGAGTATCTTTGCTTGACCCAGCAAGACATGTAGTGCAATGGGCTGTGGCCTCTCTAAGGTAGTTTCACAGATCTGAGGTCGGTCTTATATACTCGTCGGGAGATGTGGCATGGTGTCATGACCTTTAAGATCATCAAGTCCAACCATTATCCTAACACTGCCAAGGCCACCACTAAATCATGTTCCTAAGCACCACATCTATACCTCTTTTCAACACCTCCAGGGGTGGTGACTCCACCGCCTCCCTGGGCAGCCTGTTCAATGCCTAACCACTCCTTTAGTAAAGAAATTTTTCCTAATATCCAATCTAAATCTCCCCTGGCACAACTTGAAGCCATTATCCCTTGTCTTGTCATTAGTTATTTGGAAGAAGAGACCAACACTGGCCTCACTACCATCTCCTTTCAGGTAGAGAGCAATAAGGTCTTCTCTCAGCCTCCTCTTCCCTAGGCTAAACAACCCCAGTTCCCTCAGGCGCTCCTCATAAGACATGTTTGCCAGACCCCTCACCAGCTTCATTGCCCTGATCTACTGCTGAGAGCACAAACTCGATGGTGACAGAATGCTTGACATCAAGGAGTAGACCAGAAAGCAGAGAAGGCTTCCTAATGGCCTAAGACCTCAAGGGTCTTAGAAGCCATCAACAGAAGCAAATGCATCCAAGGAACCAAAGAGATAGTCTTAGAAATGATGAAAGTATGTGCAATCATAATTCAACAGGTGACTTCTCACACCAGTTGTGATAACTTCAGTCCCAAAGGCAAGTAAATGAAGAAGAAAGGCAAACAGACAAGAACGAGCGAAAGGGATGTATTACCTTGACAAAATAAGTAAAGTCTTGTTTTGCTAAAGAAGGCTGAAGCCACCACAAGTGCTCTGCCTTTTAAACTGTGATTGAGTTTGTCTGAACACGTAGGGTAATGTATGAGAGGGGAAAGTGACCTGAGAGGATATTATTATTGTCTCAAAAAAATTGTAATACATCAAGAGCCTCCAGCCACAAATGTCATGGCAGAAAACCACCCCAATGCTAAATAAGCATGTGGACTGTCGCAGAGACAAAGGCATTTTACTTATCATCACACTGGTAAAATCTGTCCAGATCAAAGTTACTCCAATGGAATTATTTGGAAACCCAGAAGTCCTGGGCCCTAAATCATCTGTCATGTCACCATGTTTGTTTGTTTATGCAAGACATGGAAAGCATAATTTCAAACCAGAATTTCAGGAGATGGTATTCCATGATTCATATAATAACATTACTGTAAAGACAGTAGCAAATACAGAATTTAGTTTGCCTGAGGCTTTCTGAAATCTTAAACTTTTTTTTTTTTTTAAACAGGCTTTCATATCTGTAGTATGTGCAACATGTTGCTGACAGCTGGTAATATAATGCTCTTCTTTTACAGAAGTGCTTTTATTCTGTGACCTTCTATTTTGATTTTGCTGAGACTGCACCTTGAAGCAGCATTTTTTTTTCCTCATGCTCAGCCCGTACGGAAATTTAGGTTGCTTCATAAAGCAGTGGTTTTATACTAAAATATTATAAAACCAGGCATATACTGCAGTTTATGATGAACAACCCTGGGAAGACACACAAAAGGACAGCTCTGGTTGGTTTATCTGAAGTAAAGAGCTCTCTATCCTCAGCACACAGCCTCAGCACCTTGCTATCTCCTCTAGGGACACCAAATTGGGCAAGAGTTTTCCCATGTCTATAGAAGAAAGAGATCAGGGTCTCCCCTTTGCTGACTGAAACACAAACCTATCAGCTGAACCAGGATGACTATCTGCCCTCCGAAAGAATTTTTTTCTGCAACCAGCTAGTTCTGTCATTAAAGCATAACAATTATGTCTCAAATCCTGCTGTTAAAGCATAATGAAGTTGACATTTTGCATATAACAGTTCTTTATTCTTTGAAAAATCAGTCCAGGTAAAAAAAAAAAAAATCCACATCCCTGAGATTGCACGACTGAACAAGAAAAAAATAGGGCATTGCAAATTTATAGCTGCCTGTACAACTTTCAGTCTGTTTCTTGCATGTATGTGTTCTTATAGTTATTAAATATGTAACCAAACTTTTATCCTCCCCATCTTTTGACTTAGTTAGGGTACAGAATAAACATCTGAAGGAATAAAATTAAGACCGCACAAACAACTGTAAATTTAGCATCGTTTATTTTTAAGTGTCAAATTAAACATTTAAATGCAGTTTTTCAGAATGCAATGATAGCTACTATGTCCTACCTTTCTCCTTAAGCATCCTCATAGTTTTTCCTTGTCCTTTTTTTTTTTTAATGCTGTTGCTACCCATGTAAAAGTATCACTTATGTGACTGAATTCTTCAAAATGACAGGCAATTATGCAATGATACTATGCAATCCTGGCAATAAATACATTAATTCTCCTCGTAAAAATGCTTGACTTTTAGTTACCATTACTTCTACTAGGAAGTCATTTCAGAAGCTCACTTCTCTGATGGCTACACAAAGCCATTTCCAATTGCCAACTTACATTTATTCATGGCGAGCTTACAAATCTTGCTCTTGGTACAACTGTGTTGTTTATACCTTTAAATAACTCTTATTTCTTTTCAGTGTTTACCCTTTAAGATGACAACAAATTCATTTCCTTCTTCGGCATTATTTTTCTAGTCTGAGCAGGCCGACCTCTCGTATTTTCCCACCATAAAAGCTCTGTCACTGTAATCGTTCTGTCGGTCCTTCCCTGCATTTGTTCTGCTTGAAATTCTGAAATTCAGGTTTGTACAGTGTATTCTGGATGACAAATTATACGTGTCTTCTAAGGCAGCGCTAATATTCTCTAATCTCTGCTGAAAATTCTTCACCTGGTACAGACTAGGACTGCACTAGTATTTTTCAACACCCAGTTTAGAGAAAGAGGTCCTGCCTTTTTTGTAGTGAACTTCTTATTTCTGACAGTGCAGTCCTCTAGATCTTCCTGTTTACTATTCTGAGACTCTTCTGTTTTAATTCTGTCTTATGACTTTATGGCCACTGTAAGTGTAATCAGCACACTTCAACTTTATGCATCAAGGTCACTACTAAAGATGTAAAATAAACCTTGTCCAAAACGCTGAACTTTAGAAACTTCCAGCCCAACACTGAAATTGCCTCTGATATTGCCTCCTCAGCTAGTCAGGTCTTTGGCCATCTCACAGTTTGCATACTAATCTTCATCCTTTTAAGTTTAATTGTACTTACCCAGAAAGTACTACTACTAAAAGCAGTAAAAGATGTATTTACAAAATTTTCATTCTACATAACTGTAGGAACAGTATATAAGAAATAAAAAATTGCCCTATATATCTGTGAGGGCAAGAGTTCATACACATTCCTTCCTCCCTAGACCTATCTTAGCTGACTGATCCAAAAACAGGGATAAACATGCAGGAACCTGGTTTTACATTTACTCACCGTGATGTAGGCCAGAAGTAAGTACATGGATGTTAAAAAAAAACCTATACTGGTATCAAAACAGTGCATGTTAGACAAGGCACAGGTCTGTAACAAATATTAAAAATAATTACAACAATTTCTGTATTTCAACTTCTAAAATAACCAGATTAGCAATGTATCTTACTTGTCCTGTCATATGACTCATGACATGTATGTGCAATTTCAGCTCCAAGCTGCAAATAATGTCCAGCTTTATCATCTCTGGAACCATCTGCTCCAAGGGCAAACATTCCCCCAGCAAAACAGGTCAAATGGCCCATCTTTCTTTCAAGGTGGCCGTTCTTCCACTCCCCAATGAAGGTCAGTCCCCCATTGGACTTTCTGATGAGATGTTTTTCTATGGCCTATAAGAAGATTAAGAGAACTTTCAAATACTGTTTCACATGCAAGTTTTACATACTAATTCTCCTTCAAAGAATAAAGTACTGTTTTCAAAACAAAAAGAATTGTCGTCTTCTTTCAAATGCACTTCTGAGCACTACAGGACCAAACAGCTCTAAGAATGTAATTTCAATATACACAAAAAAATACCCTAACTGCTAAATGATGTTAATGAGATCAAACAGGAAAATCACAACATAGATAATCTTGCACTTTTAGCTGAGAATTCAGCACATATTTTATGGCTCAAATGATGTTTGGCTACCTGTTAACTCTGAGAAGCATCTATTTGTTCTGCTGTACAGTCTGTGTGTACACAGAAAGATATATTCATGTTGGAAACTTCCAGTCAGCAACATATGTAAAGGCAGCACCTGTACTCTCAGTCAGTCTTTAATAGGAAGTGATGGGAATACTCCAGCCATCTTCTAGCTGCTTCTCCATAGCAGCTTTCTGATTGCACATGGTGAAAGGATGGGTGAGGGTTAGAGTAGCTGTTGCCAAAAAACATTACTATTTTACAGGTGAGGCAACTGGTGCGTTTTCCTTGCACATTTGTACCAATATATGTTGTTGATTGTGACTTATAAATGGTATTCTCATAGTAGCAAGGAGAATAGCTGACCTAACTTTCTGAAGTTTGTAGACTACATGGAACAATGCATTTACTTAAGTATCTTTCAGAGAGGTTCACAATCCCTGACAACATACTGCAGTACTTACTATCTTCAGCATTAGACAGTTCTTCTGGTAACTAGAATCTCCTTACAGTTTGAGTCCTATAACAATAAAGACCAATATCTTCTTTACCATAGAGACATTATTCCTATCTTCTTTACAGAAATCTCCTTTTTACTTCCACACATAACCATCTGATGGGTTCACAACTTCCTTCAAAGTGCATGACCTGTGACTGGTCAGAGTACTCCAAGGCTGGTTAGACCTGAAGGATTAAAGTGCCATTAAAAAGCTATCTAATGCTGTGCAATGAGAAAGAGCGAGGATCAACTTAGTGAGCCTAACAGATTAGGCTACTCAAGGCAACAGATCAAAAGGAAGCTTCCGTATCCTCCAGCCAGTGTGAGAAGGATAAAAGACACTTTAAACCAGACTAGCTGGGAGGTCCACGTGACAATATTGAAAGCAAATTAAGAGGCCTATCCGCAGTATTTATCACCTCAAAAAATTCTAAACAAGTTTCACAATTTCAGCTTTTATCACAGCTGTGAATCTGCATACCAGAACACTGAAATGAAGTGTCCTTTACAGTGGAAGCCTGCATTAATGTTATACAGCATGGAGAGGTCACGGATACGGAACCTGTTTGTACTCTTGTTCTGAAGTATGCTGTGACCTGGGTAAGGCCTCATATGCCATGGACTGCAAATCAGGACATCTGAAGAACAGATGCTGTCATCTTTCTTCCTCTTAGTACCTCCAAGGAATGGGATATCACTGCTTACTGCAAGACTTGAGAGTTAGGGTATGGTTGTCTATCTTCCACTCTCTCCCCTGTGATAAGCTAAGGAAGTGAAGAGTGGCTGGACAGAGACCTTCTGGTGGGTGCTGAGAACATTTCCAACTTTGTGCTATGAATAGGAGGAATGTATTTTGCACCCTTCTCCTTGCATAAATGATGCAAAGAGCTTTTGCTCCAAGTTTTGAAAAATGAAGAGTAAGAAGTGCCAGCTACGGAAGAAGATCAATGTTATAGGCAACAACAAAAGAATGATAAGGGAATGGGCTCTTTAAAATATTTTAAGATTTTAAATAAAAATTCAAATAGCAATTACGTAAAAAAAATCCTATTCACTGACTCCTTGCCCGTGTCTTTCGAAGTCAAGTAGGACCTGAGATAAACACAAATCCTGAACCAGCACAGAATCATGCAGATTCAAAATGTACATGGGTGGGCTTAGCTGAGAGTAAGCCCAAGAGGTTGCCCATGCAGCGCTACAGGCTTGGGGATGCATGGCTGGAAAGCTGCCCGGTGGCAAAGGACCTGGGGGGGCTGGTCAACAGCTGGCTGAACACAAGCCGGCAGTGTGCCCAGGTGGCCAAGAAGGCCAACAGCATCCTGACCTGTATCAGAAATAGTGTGGCCAGCAGGAGCAGGGAAGTGATCGTCCCCCTGTACTCAGCCCTGGTGAGGCCACACGTTGAATACTGTGTTCAGTTTTGGGCCCCACACCACAGGAAAGACACAGAGGTGCTGAAGCATGTTCAGAGAAGGGCGACAAAGCTGGTGAAGGGTCTGGAGAACATTTATGAGAAGTGCCTGAGGGAACTGGGGTTGTTTAGTCTGGAGAAGAGGAGACCGAGGGGAGACCTTATTGCTCTCTATAACTACCTGAAAGGAGGCTGTAGTGAGGAGGGTATCGGTCTCTTCTCCCAAGTAACAAGTAACAGGACAAGAGGAAATGGCCTCAAGTTGTGCCAGGGGAGGTTTAGATTGGATATTAGGAAAAAATTATTCACCAAAAGGGTTGTCAAACATTGGAATAGACTGCCCAGGGAGGTGGTGGAGTCACCATCCCTGGAGGTGTTCAAAAAACGTGTTCTAGACATGGTTTAGTGGGCATGGTGGTGTTAAGTCGACTGTTGGACTTAATGATCTTAGAGGCCTATTCCAACCTAATGATTCTATGATCTGATGCTTGCGCTACAGGTCCTATCATATATGAAGCAGCAGCAGCTCAGCTCTTTCTCTCTCCTACCCACAGTGTCTTTTTATCTGGTGCCGGATTTGCTTTGCTGTGTCTCCGTTCACAGATAGACATTTGCCCATACAAAATGTTTGCAAGACTGGGCTTACAGTAAAGAGGATGAAAGGCAAAGTTTATTTCCTCTAATTTTAAAGTACTCACAGTTTAGGAATCAGAGTATTTCAACAGTAACCACAATGGATGTTAAACATCAACTGCTAAACCTGTTTTTAAACTCACAGGACCTAATAAACTGTGTTTTAGACTACTAAAAGTACTCAACTAATGTTCTGAACTACTAATGCTGGGTTTAACAAACCCTGGAAAGCTAAGTAAGTTCAAAAGGACTGGGAAATAGCTGATGCTTTAACAGTATTTTAAAAGGTTAATAGAAGAATCACATAAAACAAATGATACAATTTCAGAAATAGATGTTTGATTGGCAAGTGCATGCTGATATTAGGAATAATAGGAATTTCCTTGGTATTGTAAAAATATTAATCCTAAACAAACTCAAGGCAGCACATATGAATTAGATTACAAGTTGGCTTGCTAAAACAGATCAAAGTAAACCAAAAAATTGTGAAAAATCCTCATCCCATGAAGATTCTGCAAAGATACTTTTATTCAATGCTAGGCAGCATTTCTACCAATGATCTGCAAGAAACAAATGCTAAAAAAAATTTGCAGATGACAAAAATTGATGGAGCTATAGATAGTGATAAAGGAAAAGTCAGTCCTGTAAAATCATTCACAACATGTGACAAAATGGGTTTTCCTGAACAATTGTGTTTTAACAGAGATAAGTATAAGGTCACACATTGAGGAATCGGGAATGTAAATCACAGTAGCGGGTGAGCAGTAAATCAAAAAGACTATAACCAATTTCAAAGCAAAACCAACTGGAAAGTGCATGACTGAAGCAAAGGTTAACAGCGCCAACACAGCTCTTGGCTGGATGAAGAGGAGAATACTGAGAAGAAATCAGGCAATGACATATTAGGAGAACCAATACATTCTTGTCTCCATACTGAAGACACTAGAAAGTACTTAGAAAAAAAGCTTAAGAAATCATTCAAAATCTGTTTTATATTGTGAGACTAAAGAAAACTGCATTTCTCCTTCAGGAGAGAATGCCTATTGTACCTTTGCTAGTAACCAGCTACATGACACACATAACCCTTCAAAACAATGTAGGTAACGAAAAAGTTCAAGTAGTTGAAAGCCAAATGTAATCAAATTCAGGTCAGGAATAAGAGCTATTACAGCTTTAAAGCAATTTTGGACTAGAAATTTCACTATATATCTTTTAAAATGTGAATTTTGAGGCATTTGTGAATTTGAGAACATTTTGCTTTAGGAGACTGACAGCACTAAAACTGAATTTTAAATCTTGTGTTGAAAGAAACACAGCATGCTCAGAGTATGGAACAAGTTAGGCACGAAGCACAGATCTGCACTTAGTCAAGTCTATGCGATCGATCCCTGCTGCTGTTGACACCACAGCTAACTTGATTAAAATTAGCTTAGTAACTCTGTATGTGCCTTAACTGTTGCATAGGCATGCTGGCATATATGGGCACAAGCGAGCCTGATGAAAGAAGACGGAGAAACTAAGAAAATAAGAGCTGGACAGCATAAAGATCAGAGCCACCACAAAAAGGCCCCCACCCTAAATCCCACTGAAGCATCCTGCAGTACTGCCCTGCTTGGGCAAACGCTACTTGATCTGTGAGAAAGAGCAAGATCATATCACAAAAGAACCATAGAGCAAGGAATAGGCATGAACTACATTTTACAAGATAAATATGGAATATAACATATAAATGTTTTAGAAAATAAAGAATAAAACAACTCCTAGAATGATCCTGAACACCGGAGAAAAGTGACTTGGTTGTTCTGCAAACATCTTACGGCTGTTAGATCTCTTTCTAACAAACTACAGCTTGGGCTTTTACGTTACAACATTTTGGACAAGCTGAATATTTTTAGCACAATAACCTGCTTCTGATGTATTCTACAATAATACTTTTTAAACTACTCAGAGTGAAAGCTAGTATTATTCATCACTTGATTTCTTAAAACTTACATAATCAAAACAAGTCCTGTGGGTTTGTGGTTATTTTTTGTTTGTTTGGTGGGTTTTTTCAATTTTTTTTTGAAGTATTAAAGATGTTTTTTAAATTCCACTGTATTGGAGAAAACTCAATGAATTATAATCACCTCAATTGCATCGTCGTACATTTTCCTTGCCTCCATGTCCGTCTTGTCTGACATAAGCCAGGCTTTCAATAAATATTCATAAAAACTGTCTCCCAGCCCGCCCACGGATGTGTGATCTGT